GGTGTTGAAGTGTCAGGAACGGTGTTCTGGACCGGTCCTGGATCGTCAAAACGCAGCAGTCAAGTTGTTTCGTGGCGATGAAGCTCCGAGAATGGTGTTGGCACGCTTAAGAATCCTCCATCGGTTGTCTCCCAAAGATGCACTTTCCTGAGTGGAAACAGACTCTCGCAGGGGCAAATGAGGAGGGAGCTTGGAGGGAGGGTGTGTTCCAACATCTTTGATGACTCTTGGCTTGGCACTGGTCCTCCTCCTCGTCCTCGTCCTCCTGCGTCAGTCCTTTTTCCTGATAAGTAATTCCTGCTTGTCCCATCGCGAGGCCGGTCGGAAGGGCGGGCCGGGCTTTGCGCCTGAGACTTCCATACCACTCATGATACTGAGGATGAAACATTAGCAATTCTTTCAAAGATGGAGGGCGGGCCGCTTCCAACATGCGGCTCTTGCTTTAGCGCCGCGCACACTCGCGTTAGAAAAACGCAAAATGTTAATGGATTGAGGGCGGACTATCCGTTGGCGCCGCGCACATTTTGGAACGTCTCAGGGCTGTCAGGGCGCAACAATTAGATTGAGTTGCGGTGTCGAAATCCCAGGAATGGCGTCCTGACAAGATTTAGGATCGTCAAGACGCAAAAACCCGGGTTGATTCGTGTAGCTTATATCCCGGAAATGGTGTTTCGTACACTCTTCAAGATCTTCAAACGTTTGTCTCCAAAGAAGGTACTTCTGTCCGTGGAAATGCATCCGTGCAGGTTCCTATGATGAGGGAGCTTGGAGGGAGAGCGTTTGTCCAACGTCGTTGATGAGTCTTTGGATTGCACTGGTCCTCCTCCTTCTCATCTTCCTTCTTCTTACGAGACTTTTCCTCAAGCGTTTTCGATCTCATCATCCTATGCTGCGTCAGCTTGTCGGGGAAGTGGATGTGGGGGAGGATGTGGGTGAGGAGGAGGAAGATGAAGAGGTGGGAGTAGGGAGGGGGAGGGAGGGACTGAGGGAGAGAGGACGAGAGGAGGAGGAGACCGAGATTGCGTGAAGGGAAGGGGCCAAGGAGGAAAACGGCAACGACGTCAAGAGCGAGACATTCGGGACGTGCTCCACCAAATTCAACTCTGCCCCTCCCGGGGTAATACCTCAGGAGGGGCGGGCCGCAATGTCCTACAGTGGTGATTCGTGAGGATTCCCACGTCTTCTGCCTGGCCGCCACTGAAGCCACTTGCAGTTGCGGCAAGTCCACTGCTCATAGCGTGCCTTGAGCCGCGCGCCGTTCCAGGCCCTGCCGTCTGCTGCCAGGTGCTCCCAGATGGCCGCCCCCGAAGCCACGAACACAAGAGTGCGGACTTCTAGAACACGGAGAACGAGGACCGGCTCCAGCATGTTCAAGGCATCGACTACACGCAAGAGCGACCCTGGGTAAGAATGACCTTTGGTGCGGCGTGGCTCTTGGTCTTGGGGGCCGCGGGGGGACCAGACACGAGCGCGCAGGACGCCACCACCGGACCGCGCTCGGCGATCGGGGAACCCCACTGGGCCCGCACTCAAAAGGTCACTCCCGCGAATGGCCACTCTGACGTGGAGGCGAAAGGCCGCACCGGTGATCTCAGCGCCCCTCAAACGGGGACTCCACTAACGGGTACTTTGGCCAGTGACCCAGCGAACCCAACCCTTCCCGATGCGGGCAACGCTGCATTGCCAGAAAGAGGCCCTAAAGTGGCAACTTTCTGCAAAATTGCAAAGTACCCGTTAGTAAGTACCCGTTGCGGTGTCGTTGATGATCAGCTTGTTCTCCTGGGCCGGTCGAGTCGGTCCGCGAGGCGGCCCCCGGCCTCGCACACCTCCAGACGGCGTCTCGCCTCCACCCCCGCCGAGCCTCCGCCGGCCGACGACCGCAGCCAGGGCCTCTCCTGCTCCCCGGGGCCGCCGCGGCGGCCCCGGGCGGCACGCCATGCGGTCCGCGTGGCGCTGGCCGCGCCACCGCGCAAAGAGGAGGAGGAGGAGGAGGAGGAGGAGGAGGAGGAGGAGGAGGAGGAGGAGGAGGAGGAGGAGGAGGGGGAGGAGGAGGGGGGGGGGGAAGGAGGAAGGAGGAAGGAGGAGGAGGAGGAGGAGGAGGAGGAGGGGAGGAGGAGGAGAAGGAGGATCTGGCGGCGCCGCGTTGTCAGCCAGCTGGGCTGGGATCTGGCGCCGCCAGAGCAAAAAAAGTGCGTGGTGGAATGATTGCCGCTGCCCTTGTCCAGGGTTGCTGGTCGCCCACCGCGGGTGATCTTGTGTTGACACTACGGGGGCAGAGCCGCTCCATCAATACTGCGGTCGAAATCTGGCAATGCGGGATCGCTTCATCAGAGGGACAATGCAATGCATTGGCGCGCGCGTTGCAAACAACTGACAGACACATTCGGCCAGAGGACTCGTCCGCCGAACTTTGGAACAGTTACCGCGGGGGCGAAGAACCAATAAAATGAGCGATCAGGCTAATCCAACGGGGGGAGATCAGCCCGCGCAGCAACCTTCCAGGGGAAAACCGCCGAGATGGGCACCTCCCAAATTGTCTGAACTCACCCTCGAGCTAATGCGCCCCCAACGGTTTGAGGATAAATGTTTCAAACCTCAGGGAATCAACAAAATGATCCCCAAACCCTGAAATCCCTGGACCCCACAGACCTGTGAATGCCCACGCGTCAAGACACGTCGCGACTTGGCGCTCCCCCAGGAAGCCTCTCGCGAGGCAAATATACGGCAAAGCCAGGTGTAAATATTGTTGATCGCCGAACTCGTTCCACGTCGCCCGCCATGCCCGCAACCGCGCTGGCGCGCAACCATTCCTGCTCTGCGTCCCCCACAGCAGAATGACGAGCCCTAGCCCCAAGCAAGCAAACCATAGTTTGGCGAGTTGCAGCCTGCTCAAACGAGGTGCGCCAGCGTTTGAGCCAAGGGCGCACGCGCGCCTCCAAACAAACGGTGCGCAACCTGCGAAATGTTTCCCTGAGCAACGCTGCGGAATGCAAACGGTGCGCAACCGGCACCTGCGCGCCTCCAAACAACGGGTCGGGATAGGTACTTCGCTGCGGGCAAAGGCTCCAGGTGCCGAAGGTCAACGGACCACCTCGGCCTTGAGGTGATGAGCGGGTGTGAGGCTTGGGAAAGATATGCGGCGAGCGAGGGGGGGAAGTGAAAAAGGGCGGGCCGTCTCAGAATGATCGGAAGTCTCCGGTGCTTCTGAGAAATTTCCTGCGCCTTCCCAGAAGACACGGGAAGCTTCTCAGAAGGCGTGAAGCCTTCTGAGAAGCCCCGCCGCCTGCTGAGAAGGCCTCCTCCCTGTCATAGGAGAACAAAAAGTGACATAAACATAACAACTCGGAGGTCCGCGCGGATTTCTCGGATCGGCGCTGACCCCCCTCCCTGGCGCGCGGAGCGCGCCAGGGGCGGCGCCGGAGGCGCCGCCGGGGGCCCCAGCGCCGATCCGAGAAATCCGTGCGGACCTCCGAGTTTTTATGTTTATGTCACTTGTTGTTCCCCTATCTCGCTTCACCCCCTCGCTCGCCGCCGAACAGAGCAGCGTTGTGGGCCAGAACTGCCGGAGCGACGCGCCATGCAAAAAATCCCGGTCGTGATGCCAGCCTCCGCCCGCCTGCCGCCGGAGTTGGATCGACGTCCGACGTCGCGGGAAAGTAGCGAACGGCGCCGTGAAAAGAGACGACCGGGGCCCTGGCCCTCCTACACTGTGAGGAGAGCCAGCAGAGAGCGCAAACATCCGGACACCTCCATCCTCTTCCTCCTCCTGCTCCACTTCAATCCACTTTCCTCCCTCCATCCTCTTCTGCCATCTCTTGCTTCTGCATGTTCATGTCACGCATTGCTGCACATCACGTGACAGCAGCCATCACATAATGGCGAAACGTGTAATGCTTGAAACATCCTCGGAGGCCTTGAGCGCAGGAATCCTCATATAACAATAGTCTCCTTGCCTCCACGTCCCTCCCTATCCTTAGGCAGGAATGAAATCCTTCGAGAGGGCCCTGGGGCCCAGAACGAAGGCCTGAACTTATGTGTTTCCCACGGCGCATACCTGTCAGAGTCCCAGGAGGAAGGCGAGCACGACGACGACGACGACGACGGCGAACAAGAAAATGTTGACAACGAACGCCTTCCAAGACACCACCTCGTCCTCCTCCCAATTCCCCTGCCCCTGCCCCTCCTTCTCCTCCTCCTACTCCTCTTCCTTTCTTTCATCCTCCTTTTCCTCCTCATCCTCCTCCTCCTCCTCCTCCTCCTCTCATCATCATCATCATCATCATCATCATCATCATCATCATCATCATCATCATCATCATCATCATCATCATCATCGTCATCATCATCATTATCATCATCATCATCATCATCACTCTCCCCATCCCTCTCTCGCCCTCCTCTCTCTACCTCTTCCTCGTCCTTCCATACCTCATCGCCTTCCTCTCTCTACCTCCTTCTCCCACCCCCTCTTCATCCTGCTCCTCCTGCTCCTTCTGTTCCTCCTCCTCCTCTTCCTTCTGCTGCTCCTCCTCCTCCTCCTCCTCCTCCTCCTCCTCCTCCTAGTCCTGTTCCTACTCCTACTCCTTCTCGACCTCCTCCCTCGTCTCCCTCCGGCTCCCAACCCTGCTCCTCCTCCCTCTCCTCCTCCCCCACCCCTTGCGACGACGACGACGACGACGACGACGACGACGACGACGACGACAACGCAGACGACGACGACGACGACGACGAGACGACGACGACGACGCGACGGCGACGGCGACGGCGACGGCGACGGCGACGGCGACGACGCCGACGCCGACGACGCCGACGCCGACGCCGACGCCGACGCCGACGCCGACGCCGACGCCGACCGACGCCGACGCCGACGCCGACGCCGACGCGACGCCGACGCCGACGCGACGCCGACGCCGACGCCGACGCCGACGACGACGACGACGACGACGACGACGACGACGACGACGACGACGACGACGACGGCGAACGGCCGCGCGGGGCGCCTCCACAGAGGCGGCACGTGCGTCGGCGCGGCGCGCTCCTCGCCCTCGCCCTCCGCCGCGCCCGCGGCCTCGCCGCGCGAACGCGCCCCCGCCCGCCGCCCCCCCCCGCCGCGCGGGCCGCTCCTCCCCCACGGCCGGGGTCGCAAGGACGGCGCGCAGCGTCACTCCCCGAAGAGCACAGAGGGCCCCCTCTCTGCGCACGCTGTCGCCCCGCGAGGGCCCCCCTCTCCGTTTCCCCCCCCCTGCGACGGCCTCGTCGGCGCACGGCACTCCCCCCCCTTCTGCGCACGCCGTCCCCCCCCCTGCGAGGGCATCGTCGGTGGCGACATGATCACCCCTTGCCAATGCCTCGTCGGCGCACCACGCTGTCCCCGAGGTGGGGGGGGGGGGGGGGCAGCGTGTGACAAGCGTGCCGGCGGCGCCACTTCGCAGGCGATCCTTGCGACGCCAGCCTGAGGAGGAAATTCCTGGAGGGCTCGCGCGACAACTTGGGGAGACCCAGTTTCTGTCGGACCTACGTGGGCGACGAAAAAAGCTGGCCTCACACAGGATGACGTAGCCGCCTTACGCCGCGATTCACGCACGCCGCCAGCGCAGCACGCTAACTAAATTGGAGACGAAAGAGTTCACGCGTCATATTAAGCGGGAAATTACGCGCCAATGTCTGCGCAATCGACCCGGTTTGATTCCGTCGGCCACGTCGAATTCACGAATGATTTACCGCGGAAACACGTCGGGTCTGCGTCGGAACATCGCCGCGCGAAGTCGACGCGTAGACTACATAATGCAATGCGCGCCGCGCGAGGCCCCCAGGATTTTCCGCGTCGCATCCCGTTCCTTCGATTGACACCCCCAAGGCGACGACGGTCCGGTCCCAAAAGTGTGCCCCCAGAGGCTGAGGGAACCCTCGCACATCGACTTCCGCCGCTGCCCGCCAAGCGAGGCGGCGAGGGAAGAGCGGCCTGCTCCGGAAGTCTGGGCGCGGCAGCCCCTGGCATCCCCGCGCGGAGGAAAAAGTCACGACGGAACGTTTGCTGCAATTACGGCCACGCACGAGCCCCACGAAGCCCCGGGGCCGTCGGAAAACTACTCAGGACACAGAGTGCTCTCACCCTCCCGGTTCTGTCTAAACTCAAACGTTGTCGCGAACTGCATTGCTCGCCCTCTATTTGGCAGCTCCTACACTGGAGCACTGGCAGCTCCTGTACTAGAGCATCGCTCGCTCTGAGAGCGGCAGCTGCCCAAGGCAGCAAAGAGATCGCCGCACGGAAGCCTGGCCGCCAGCCCCGTGGGGGCACCGTCCTGGGGCTGAAGCCTGCGAGGCCGCACAGCGGTGTGAGCTACCGCTGTCCCATCGGTGGCCCGGCCGCGCCCTCGACGAGGATAGGACATGCAACAAGGGCTCCCAACTTCGCGCTTCGCGCTGCGCGAAGCGCCAAGTGCGAATAACTTCGCGCTCTCGCGCCGCCTCCCAGGGGAGAATCGGAGGGCGAGGAGGAATCGGAGCCGAAGCGCGAAGCGCGAAGCGCGAACAACTTCGCGCCCTCGAGGGCGCCCTCGTGCAGTGACCCAAGTGAGCGTGGACGAGCGCGGCGAGCCCGCGCGCGGGCGCGCGGCTCACGCGCGGGGAGGCCCGCGCGGGGCTCGGCCCCCGGCTTACGGTGGCAACTCGTGGGAGCCTCCCGTACCGTCTTGTCGGCCCCTGCGAGCCGGCGCTGGTCGACGAAGAAGCGACGCCAATCGACGCTGGGTCGACGCGGATCGACGCCAGCTCCCAGACGCGGATCGACGCGAGTCGACGCTGAAGGTAAAATTGCGAGGGTGCACGAGGCTCCCATGACTTGCCACCGAAGGCCGGGGAACGGTGGCAGCCCCTCGCCTCCAATATGCAGCGTGCCGCGCTCGCGGCCCGCGTCAGCCGCCGCGTGAGGTCGCCGTGCCATCTCGCGTACAGTCCCACCCGTAGCAGAAGGATGCGCGGTGAGGGTGCAGGGGCCTCGGGGGGCCATGGGAACGTTTTTCGAACGAGGCTGGCCAGCGAACGTCGCCAAGGACGGGCCGAAGTGGCAAGGAGGCAGGGGTATCCTTGGGAAGGCTGCCCATCCCTACTGCGCGGGTTGACTGAACGGCCCCCCATTCTCTTCGTCGTCGCTCGTCGGGGAGGCCGCTGCTGTCGGGCCGCCCCCCGGGCTCGGGGTCCTGAGGCAGGCCGAAGACCGGCGGCAAGCCCTTCTCCGAAGGCTCGGAAGTCCCCGGGCCTTCTGAGAAGCGTGCTGGGCCGCCGCCGAAGGCACCGAAAGTTTCTCCGAAGGCGTGAGGTTTCCTGAGAATTTGTTGGGGCTCTGGGGCCCTTCTCCACCAAAGGTCTACAGCTGGCGGCGGTGGGGGACGCCAGCGCGGTGAGGGTTCCTAAGAAGCCCCGCCGCCTTCTGAGGGGGCCTTCTCCTTCTCGCTTCCCCCCCCGCTCGAAGCCGAGATATGGGACGCGTAAAGACGTACCAGTACCATGTGACCCCCAAACAGGACTTACGCATGATGGCATGGCGACCTTACGCCGCGGCTCACGCGGGCCACCAGCGCGGCACGTCACAGTGGAGACGCAGGCGATTACGCGCGACCTTACGCGGGCAGCTTACGCGCCAATGTCGGCGCAGGCAGAACCGCTTTTCTGCGTCGCACATGTTCCTCTGCCGATATTAGACAAGCGCGTTCCACTACCACTACTCGGAAAATAACTGCTCGCAGGCCTGGATCTGCCGCGGGGAAGTCACGATCCATTACATCGAGGCAAGCACGTGTTTTGTTTTTCTGACGTGTGCGAGCAGGCACGTTGCGAGTAGTGGAACGCGGTCGGTGAGAGATGGGACGCAGAAGGACGTGCTAAACCCATACGCCTCTGTTGGACACGCACGTCGGCCCCGAACATACAGTACCAAACCCTGGCAGCAGATCGTCACCCGAGCGGTATGGCCAGAAAGCGCCCGCCACGGAGCTTACGCTACCAAGATTTCCGAGCACATATCATAAATAATAAAACTAGGTCCCAGCCCCGGTCGTGGCCCCAGCCTCGGCCTCGGCCCTGGCCCCAGCCCTGGCCTTGGCCCTGGCCCAGCCGCGGCCCCAGCCCAAGCCCCAACAGAGCCCAAGAGGCTCCCAAGAGAGCCCCAAGAAAGGCTCCATAGCGCGAGCGTCGTCGGCTTCGCCGCTGCCGCCGCCGCCGTCGTCGCCGTCCCCCTTCAGTCGGCGGTGGACAAACCTCCCTTTAGTAAACCTCCCCTTTGTGAAAACGGCCTGGGACCGAAACCGACGGACCTGGACCCGCAAAAATGACGGCCGCGCCGCCCTCTCGCGAACCGAAAACGGCCAATTCCTCAATCGACGTGTCAGGGTAGGAGGTCTGTCCAACCCCGACTCAGGGTCGGCGGCACCGGCCGCTAGGCCTTCCCAATAGAACTATGTCTAGGTGCTTCCGACGCTACCGCTGCCCGCTGGACCTCCCAGGGCACGGTGCGTTCTGACCAGCACTCCGGGAGGGCTCTGGGACGAGCAGCGGTATCGGTAGATGTTCCTCACATGAACGGTCTCTGCGTCGCGCTGGCGGGGGGCCCCGGAGGGCGCGGCCTTGTCGGGCCGCCGAGAAGGTCTGGGCCCTCCCCGAGACAGCATGCACACGCGAGAAGATCATGTAGGCAGCAAGGAGGACCGATTCGCGACGATGTGTCTCGCATCCATGTAACAAGCATATCGGCCCTGCACACTGCGCAGCTACCGCTCAGGCCTCGCGATCCCTCACGCCCCATTGAAGCTATGCGAACGAAAAACTTGCTAGAAGAAATCCTGGGGCACATCCTTCGCAGATTTCTGAGGGTCCCAGGTGGTACCCCAGAGCTTTTGTAAGCACCCTGGGGCCATTGAGGAAGGCGGAACTTCCGTAGGTCACTTGCTGGCAGGCCGATTGAGTATTTTGCTCAAGTGAAGGCACCTCAACACTTCAACACTGAGCATTCGTTCCACTACAATGAACTGCCTTGATTCCCCGTATCCGAAGCATGGGGTTATTGTTGTTAGTGTGACGCCTCCGCATCCTCTCCTCCTCCCTCCTCCCCCTCCCCACCCGCACTCCGACCCACTCACACTGAACTCTAGGGGGGGGCGGGCGCCCCGGGCCTTCCGGGTCAGCGCGGGCAGGTGCCCCTTGACGCTGTCGAACTGCCAGTGCAGGAACAGCAGCAGCCAGACCGCCTGCCATGGCGCGGTGCCGCCCTTCCACGCGCAGCCCCGCCGCACGAAGGCCGCGTGTTCGATCATGAACCCACATTGTCAACCCGTGCTCCCGGGACGTCTTCGACGGTCTCCGGCGGTCTTCGGGCGGCCTTCGGGCGGTCTGCGGCGGTCTTCCGACGGTCTTCGGCGGCTTCCAGCGGTCTCTGGCGGCTTCCGGCGGTCTTCGGCGCGAGAGCTGGATGGCTGCCTTCCACAAGGGGTCCACAATAAAACACCTGAAAGAGGGGGGGGGCAGCCTGCCAGACCGAGTCCCCAGAACATTGGGAGCCGCCGGCTGGGCCACAATTTCGGCCTCTGGGGGCCCTCCACGGGCCCCAAGGCCATCCAGGAACGACTCGGGATGAAAAAGTCGGCCCTACAGGGAAGTGTTCCAGACCCCCTGGGTCTCCACGCATCGAACAAATTGGAGCGTCGGATATTTGGGGACGAAGAAAAAACAGGGAGACCGCACATCCTCGAGTCGAATCCTCTGAAATCACACCGTGAGCATGGGCTCGATAACGTGGCAGAGACGCGGTGTTTCGAGGCGAGGAGCTCCCGCGGATTTGAGTCTTACGCTCCCCCGACATGAGCCCTGACAGGAGGGAGGGCCTCCCTCCACTCAGCACGCTCTCGGAGTTCTCACGCTCCTGGCCCGAGCGTCGGATTCTCCTTGTGCTCTCCCCTCGGCCCACGCGCCGCTCGAAGCGCGAGGCGCGCCCATCTTCGCGACCTCGCGCCGCCGCCGCAAACCAGACATACGACGTCCCGAGTCCGAGTTGTTCAAACACGCGGCCCCCGGAAGCCCCGACCCCTTCCCTGGGACCCAGCTCTTCCTCCTGAGCCCGGAAGTCCCGACCCCTTGGGACCCAGCTCTTCCCTGGGACCCGGCTCGTCCTCCTGAGTCGCTTCCCTGGGACCCGGCTCTTCCCTGGGACCCGGCTCTTCCCTGGGACCCGGCTTTTTCAACACGCGGCCCGCGGAAGCCCCGACACCCCTCCCCGGGACCCGGCTCCTCCTCCCGAGCCGCTTCTCGGCGCTCCCGCGGGGCCCCGAGCGGCCGAGCGCCGCCGAAAAACCGCCGGCCCCGACTCCTGGGGCCAGGCCTGTTACCAGCCTGGAACATATCCCTATCCCTATGCTGGGTATCTCATCCTCACGATGCCAGTCTCAGGGATTCCCTTATTTTTGGGGGGCACATCCCTAAGATTGTCGTCGCCTTTTGGCGTGTCAACCTTAGGGATAGGGATACGTTCGAGGCCGGTAAGCCTGGCCCGCCCGCCCGCCCACGGCGCGAGGCGCCCTCCCCACCGAGGGGCAGCGGGGGGGGCAGGGGGGACCGGCCCGGGGAGGGCCGCGCCGAGCTGGAGTCGGCGGCACGTCGCCGAGAGGTCGGCGGTGCGGTGTAGGAACTCGGCCACCAGGAACCCTGCACAAGAGACCCAGCTCTGAGGCCCCAGGACGTCCATTATTTTTTGGTGTGGGAAGGTCACGCTGCCCATCGCTAAGCCATCGCAGCCCCAGAAGCCCAGGGCACCCTGGAGGCAAGCAGGGTGTTTCTCGGCATGGGTTTTCCACCGTAGGACCCAGATGGCGAAACCGCACGGTCCCCCGCGGGGTGGGCAATCTGACCCCTGGCGGCGATGGATGGGCGATTGTAGGGGCCTCCTAGATGGGGTCCGAATAATTAGATGGGGTCGGAGGATCGCGCCGCATCGCCGATGCATCGGCGCAACATCGCCGATGCATCGGCGATGCATCGGCGACGTCGGCGATGCATCGGCGACGTCGGCGTGGCGAAAATCGGGCTCCGTATCCAGCAGCCTCGGCGATACATCGGCGATGCGGCGCGATCCTCCGACCCCATCTACTCGGACCCCATCTAGGAGGCCTAGAGATTGGGGGTCGACGCATCCCGCTTGAGCCCATCCCACCGTACTTCGCCCCTGACGGGGTCCCCGAGGCCCTGGACCACTTCCCCGGGACTGGCTTTTCGTCCCAGATGCTAATCGGATGGCCATGGGGCCAGGCGAGTGCCTGGCCGACGACGGGAAAAACGAAGAACCTGCGCCTTCTCCCGGAGCTGACGTTGCACAAAAGTTCCACCATCGTGAAACATCACTACCCGAGCCCCAGACCCCATCGTCCTGTGTCGTTCTTCGAGTCGGATCGACCTGTGAGGGGCCCCTGCATGGCCCGAAACTGGGCAAAACGCCCATTGTGAAAACAACGCAACGCCCGGATCTGAGAGTTGACTCCTTCAACACGCTGAAGTTGGCGGCGAGCGAGGGGGGAAAGTGAGAAGGAATGAACCAAGAGGGCTCCGTCCAAGGTCCGTCAGGATAGATCACAGTGGGGCTCACATGGACACGCTACTGCCTCGGAAAAGGTTTTCTCCGAATGCCGCCACGCACGCCCATGCCGAGCCAAAGCCTGTTGGGAATGTCCACGCCCATGCCGCCCGCCATTTTGTAGCGCTGTCGTGCTATATGTACAACACAAAAGGAATTCATGACACCATGCCATCACTCCGCTTTGTACACGCCCACCACGACGTGCCGTAATTACCACTTCAGTGTCGAAGACAACGTGACACATCCCATGGTATGTTGAGACCGCGTGGCGACCATGAGCCGTATAGACATTCGTTGATATTTCGCTCCGCAAGCCTCGTGAAGGTTTTTTGGAGCCGACCAAACCAAGCAACCTGTGCGGACGTCTCAAATGAAACAGGGCCCAAACCAGGCCAAACCAGGGCGAAACAATGCAAACGCTCAGGACGTCTCAGGCAAGACCAGGCCCAAACCAGGCCAAGCCACGCAAAACCAAGCAAATGCGAAACCGAACCCAAACCAGACCAAACCAGGGGCCACACCAAGCAGATGTTTTGAGGATGTCTCACATGGGGAGCGCGGCCATGCCAGGCCAAACCAAACCAAACCAGGGGCCAAACCAGGCAGATTGCGAGGACGTCCCAAACAGAATCACTTAAACCAGGAGCCATCCATTGTCCTTGACAAAATTCCAAGTACAGAAGTGGATCACTCCAGGGCCCCCCCACAGGCGGAATCCCGTTTAGAACGCGCGCCCGCTGTTGCGGACGGGGCTGGGAGCAGAAGCGTTGATGTGTCTTTCGGGTATTATTGGGGCGTGGTGTGGCGTTGAGAGAAATACTTCCGAGCCTGATCAACCTCGGAACAATTTGTCCGAACGCCGCCACACACGCCCATGCCGATCCACAGACTGCCGGGAATGTCCTCCCTCACGTCACCCGCCATGTTGTAGCGCTGTCGTGCTACATGTGCCCAGCAATGGGGCCAAACCAAGCCAAACCAGGGGCCAAGCCCCCCCCCCGCTGGCGGAATCCCGTTTAGAATTTGATGGGGGGTTCGCTTGGACCGCACGCCCGCTGATGCGGACGGGGCTGGGCGCAGAAGCCTTTATTTGTCATTCGGGGGTCATTGGGGCTGGGTGTGGAGTTCGGAGAAGTATTTCCGAGCCTGTAGCACTATGTGCCTCTGTTGGAGGCGCACAACCGACCCGAACGTAAAGCACAACATCTTGCAGCACATCGTCCCCCGAGCGGTATGACCAGAAAGCGCCAACCACGGAGCTTGCACAACAAGATCTGCTAGCGAGCGCGTCGCCCTCGCGTGGCCGACGCATATACCCATATGCACATAGATCTATATAGATAGCACCCAAACGCACAGGTGCACCCATGCATAAAAAAACGTGCGCAGACACATGCACGTACACACATGCATGCACACACGCAGACACACACTCAGGCAGGCAGGCAGACAGATATGCATACATGCATGCATGCATGCATGCATACGGCGGGTTCGTGTCGTGCCGACCCCAGCGTTGGTTTTTGACACCGCGCTGGATCGTTCAACCTTGAACGATCGGCCGCTGCCGCAACGTCCAATCGTTCAACATCGACCGATTCTGGGCCGCCGCCGGCGTTCAACCTCGAACGCCCGCGCGGGGGTCGCCGCGAGTCGACACGACGCAAACCTACCGTACATACATACACATACAATATGTGACTGCCTACCAGACCACCCCAACCCAACCCGAAGACGCCAATTTCGGGTTGGGGGGGGTAAGGGTTCCACATGTGTTTTTTCGATGTGTCCTGGACCCCCCCCTACTGGAAATCGAGGGTAAATCTGAGCCTTCGGGTTGGGTTGGGGTGGTTTGGTGGGTGGTGAATATGATCATGCCTGGGTGCTGCCGACCCGGAGGACCTCTGACGGCTCTCGCCCTGCCCCACCGCTTTTCGACCTGCGCCCCGCCGCGGCCAGGGCCGAGACAAAAGCGCACCGCGGGAGGCCCGCCCTGGGCACGCGCCCCTGCCGCGGCGGGGCCGCCGAAGGGGCGCGGCGCACCCAGCCCGCCCGTCCCGCTCCGCTCCGCGTCGCAGTGCCGTGACCGCGGAGGGCGGAGGAGGAGGAGGAGGAGGAGGAGGAGGAGGAGGAGGAGGAGGAGGAGGAGGAGGAGGAGGAGGAGGCGGAGGAGGCGGAGGAGGCGGCGGGCGGGCGAGAAGTGAGAAGGAGAAGCCCTTCTCAGAAGGCGGCGGGACTTCTCAGAAGCCCTCGCGCCTCCTGAGAAGTTTTTGGCCTCGTCGGGGAAGGCTCAGAAAACTTCTCAGAAGGCTGGGGAACTTCCGAGCCTTCCGAGAAGCCCCGTGGCACGTGCCCGAGGCACGTGCGCGGACGCGCACGTGGGGGAGCGGGCGGGCCCGGGCGGGCGGGCGGGCGGGCGGGCGGGCGGGCGCGCGCGGGACCCGTTCCTCCGCCTGCGAGGGGGGGGAGGTCCGACTTCTTCTGGGGGTCCGGGTCGGCAGAGCGCCACCGAAGGAGCACACGCCTTCCGAGAGAAGGCGCTGGCCCGGGCGAAGAATTCGCCAGGGAGCTGCGGGGGAAGCGCGAGAGGGCAAGGGAGGGAGCCGGGGAGGGGCAGGACCACAGCGGGGGGGTGGCTGCCCCAGGAGCCGCCGCTCACCGCAGCCCCCCGCCTTGGACAGGCTGGGCTGCGCGCTCTGCTCCGCGGTGCCGTGGTAGCCTCGGCAGCGCTCGCTCGCGAGAGCGCGCGGTGCGGGGGGACGGCAGCGGGCCGCCCTCGACGCCAAGGTCGCTCTAAGAGAGCCGAGACGAGGTGTCACGAAGATGGCTCCAAGACCACCCTCGCTCCAAGATGGCGCCAAGGTGGCTCCAAGATGGCCCCTCGGCCCCAGGAGGGCCCAGGCGCCCAAACAGCACCCGAAGCGGCCCCACGACCGTCCTGGCCCAGGGGAAGGCAAAGAACAACCCCAGCACCCACCATCGCGAGTTCCGTCCCTCTCTGGGGGCCGCAGACCTCTGGAGCAGACCAGGGATGCCTGAGACCCGGCGGGTCCACACGCGTTCCAGACCGCTCCAGCACGTAAGACGAAGCCAAAGCAAGGGAACAATCGGACCGGCGGGACAACTCGAGGATCCCTGAGATCCTGCGGCTCTGGATGATGTATCGGGCGCCGCGGCCGATCCAGAGCGCTCTGGGACGCTCTGAAAGCTGATGGGCATGTTTTCCACCACTACCACCACCACCATCAATTGGAGGGGGAGGGGGTCCTCCGTCTCCTCTTCCTCCTCCTCCTCCTCCTCCTCCTCCTCCTCCTCCTCCTCCTCCTCCTCCTCCTCCTCCTCCCTCCTCCCCCTCCTCCTCCTCCTCCTCCTCCTCCCTCCTCCTCCCTCCTCCTCCTCCTCCTCCTCCTCCTCCTCCTCCTCCGCCTCCGCCTCCGCCTCCGCCAACTCCTCCTCCTCCTCCTCTCCTCCTCCTCCTCCTCCTCCTCCCTCCTCCTCCTCCTCCTCGTCCTCCTCCTCCTCCTCCTCCTCCTCTCCTCCTCCTCCTCCTCCTCTCCTCCTCCTCCTCCTCCTCCTCCTCTCTCCTCCTCCTCCTCCTCCTCCTCCTCCTCCTCCTCCTCCTCCTCCTCCTCCTCCTCCTCCTCCTCCTCCTCCTCCTCACTCTCCTCCTCCTCCTCCTCCTCTGCCCTCCTCCCGCGGTACTGCTGCAGGAGGCCGAGGCCTCTTCATGGATGCTGCTGGCGACTTCCCGCGAGCCGCCCTTTCTGTGGGAGCAGACTTGGCTGCGCAAGGACGCGCGGTGCGGATGCCAGGGCCTTGGGGGGCCGTGGCGACACCTTGCAAGAGGGGCGCGGCCAGCGGAAGGGGCCAAAGATGAGCCGAAGGGGGAAGGGTGCAAGGGTAGCCCTGGAACGTTGCTCGTCCTCACTATGAGACGTGAACGCACAACGCCGCCCCCCCCGGGAGCGGAGCCGCACGTTCCTGGGCAGGGCGGGCCATCGGGCCCCGATCGGCGATGAAATGGCGATCCGGGGTCGATGGGTCCCCCCCTGAGCCGATCCTCCCGTGATGCTGCCCCTGACCGTCCACCACGTGCTGCTCCTCCAGCTGCTCCCTTCTCCTCCCTCCCCCCCTCCTGCCTGCCTGCCTCCCGTCCTCCCCGCCCTTGCTGGCACTGCGGGCCAAGCGAGGTCAGCCGCCCAGTGCGCAGCTGGCCTGTGGGCACAAACGCCCAGGGAGAGCCGGCCTGTCGTAGAGGTCGCACCCAGCCACAGTCGCTGCAGGCCTCCGCCGCCCCCCCCCCCCAGGACGGCCCAAGAGGGCCCTGGGAGGGCCCCCAGAGGGCCCCAAGGGGCCCCAGAATAATGAAAGAACAACAAGCACAGGACGGCTCGCAAGCCGAATCCCTTTTGTGTAGGTGTGTGCGTGTTGCTTGCAAGGGGCTCCTCCTCCTCCTCCTCCTCCTCCTCCTCCTCCTCCTCCTCCTCCATCTCCATCTCCTCCTCCTCCTCCTCCTCCTCCTCCTCCTCCTCCTCCTCCTCGCCTCCCCTCCCTCCCACCCATTCGCACCTGGCCAGCCCGTCCTCGGCCCCAACCGCTCCACGTCGCAGTGCTGTGGCCGCGAGGAGGAGGGCGGCGACGAGCGAGCGGGTAGACGGGCGCGAGATCAGTCCATTCGTCTGCGAATGGGGTTTTGGACTTCTGGGAGACAGGGTCAGTGAGGGGCAGGAACAAACATGTCAAGAAATAACCATGTCTGAGGAAAACAGTAATGACCAGGGCGGAGAGTGTCCCACTGCATTGCCACTGAAGAACAAAAGAAGGCGTAGTTTTGCTTCGGCGCCAAAGTTCAGCTCGCAGACCGCATAGCACCCTGGCGCAAAAGGAACCGAATATCCCAACGTAGCAACGCGAGACGCCGTTCAGCATTCCGTAGCCTGTGCTCTTTTATTAGCATAGACAACTCACCATGCAAAGCCGCAACGTCACTGTCAACTCTAACTCTAGATTGGCAAAGACGACTGTGTAAACGGGATCGTAGATTCTGTATGTGCACGGCTCTCTCGCACCCTGCTGCATCGAGGAACTTCCAACGAGACTGATTACCTTTCAACTTGGATAAACTATCGCGGATGCGCTGGTAATTATTCCGAGTGAGAGACATGGCCAACATGGCCTGCTGTTTTTTTCCTGCGAGGCCCGAATCCAGCAATTGCTGCAGCACTGCAACGGATGACGCTGTTTTGGTCACGCAAAGACAATAATGTCCACCCCTACTCTGCCCGAGGCTCGCAGTGGCACCTGGGAAGGTTCGTTCGATCAACGCTTTAATACCAAGTAATGGCTCCTCGTACTTCTGGGATACAGACAAATATAAATGCGCCCCACATGGCCTGATTTCGATACATCCCTCCGCGTCAAAAAATCCGGCAACATAACCCCAGCTAACATCATGACACGGGCCAGGAGCTTCACGCTTCAGATGACGCAAGGTGCTCGCAAGCCGACCACGGTGTAATGGACAAATTGGCGCCTCAGAAACTACAAGGCCAAGCTGTTCACGCTTCACCACAGACGCTCTTTTGAGCAATGACGCAGCGATTCTCGCTCCCTCGCCGTTTATCTTCCATGAGAAAGAGTACTGGTGACTCCCTTTCACAGACGCCTTCTTGTAGATACCACCGCCAAACATATTCATAAACTTAACCAGCACTGCAACATTACTTTCAGCTTGGTGGATCTCCAGCGATCGACGGTTAAAGCTTCGGCTTGAAAATACGCAACCATCCCCGTCAAAGAATCCTGCGAAATAATCTAAGACTGCGTTCGGAGCATATTCGCTATCATCAGACGGGTCCTGAGCGCGGACAGGTAATGAATACACCTTTCCATCTACGACGAAGCTCTGACAGGGTGGCCGAATCAAGCGCCTCCGAAACGACTCAAGACGCCGGCATCGACGTTCGATCGTGTCCCACGGGTGCGGTCCAACAGAACAGCGCCTGCAGGAAGAACCTAGTACACGCCAATGCCGCCCTTCTGGCACTAGCAATGCATGCATATAGCCCCCTCCTGACAACAAGGCACGTCCAAACCCAGCGCGGAGCAGTGTCATGAAAGCAGCATGCCAAGGGCAATGGCGGCGATTCAAGAGAAAACCATCTGCTGATGGATTGCTGAGCGAAAGCGTACAAATGAATATTCAACACGCATCCATGTGGCAGCCCCGTGCAGCCTTGAACCAAGATGGCTTGAGCCAAAATGGCTTCGGTACAAAAGAAAGCGTACGTTTTTGGAGGCAGACGCGGCCCCGAACAAGGAGCACCCAAGAACATTCCAGCTCACCTGCACATGGCCCCCGAGAGGCTGACCCCCCCTGTAGCAGGCGAAAGCCCCTCCTCGCCTTCCCCGTCATCCCCCTCATCTGTGAAGGGGACCAGGGAGACACACATAATTCACACAAATTCCAGGGCTCCCCATCTTTCTCCACTTTCTGGGCGTTCGTCTTCCATTCCACTCAACATATGTTCCCATGCTCTCCTGGGAATCGATGTTTGCTTCTGTCTGTGTCTATGCTTCCCTGCTGACTCTGGGCTGGCGGCCCAGGTGCAGGAAGGCGATCTTCAGCAAGCACTCCACGAAGGCGCCTCCGCCAGTCGCTGGCCCGCACTCCAGGCCCCACGACGATCGTCACCGCCGCCCCCGATCGCCGAAGCCGTCAAGGACGTCGTCGTCGCCGCCGTCGTCGTCCCCTCCCTCCCCCTCAGATCTCCAAGAATCTGACTTTCCAATCCGTGCGTTATTCCTCGATTTCGGCCTCGGGGTCCCCTTATTGGACCCCGGGGCCATCAAACATAGATCAGGGATAGAAAACTACCCCTGGGAAAGGGGTCGGTACCTCTGGGGCAGCGGATTGAAAAACCCATATCGGAGGATGTCTGGGTCCCCCCTGAAACCCAGGCGCTGCAATTTTCTCACACTGGGTGTCTCCAGCCCGTTTCGCACCTCAGGCCCTCACAGACCGATCTGGTTAGAGAAATGCCGCAGAAAGATAAGTCCAGGGCTCTGGTCGTGATTTTGACGACGTTGCGTGGTTTCCGCGACGTCGGATATTCGGCTCCTCCTCCCCCGACTATTCCTCTTTTGCAGTGCCCGGGGGCCCTTTTCGGGCCCCAAGGCCGTCCGTAACTGATCCAAGCCGGCCAGGATGGAGTGCGGGAGGAGCTCCAAGGACTGGTTTCGAGAGGTTTCGAGGAGGACGAGGAGGAGGAGGAGGAAGAAGAAGAAGACGAAGAAGAAGAAACAGAAGAGAGGCGGAGAAGGAGGTTGAAGTCAAGCGCGCTGGAGGTGGATCTGGACGGGCAAGCGACAACAACGAGATCGAGAACGAAGAACTCCCCCGCGTGTGGACAGGGATGCAAGCCCCTGCTGCGCGAGGGAACTGCCTGGCGCGCACTGCAAGGCCTATGAAGGGGAGAGGCAGTGGGACCTGGCGACGACGGCGACATCGGCGACAACAACGACGACGGCGTCGACGTTGACGACGCTGAAGACAAGGGCGACTCCGACAACGACGACGGCGGTGGCAGCGACGGCGATGACGGCGACGGCCACGCCGACGACTCTGACCTCCGAGATCCGATGCCTCGATTTGCTGCTTGCATGGGGGCTCCTGGAAGTCCCGACCCGGAAAGGGTCGGGACTTCCAGGAGAGCCCCGAATCGAATCGAGAAGTCGAATCGGCGATCTAAATTCATCGGATCGGCAGAAATCGGCAGCCAAGTCGGAAGGAGTCGTTTCGGCGGAAATCGGTTGAGTAGCAAGGCCCTATTGAGAAAGCAGCAGCCGAATCGGAATGCGAGGTCGAATCGAATCGGAATCAGAATCCATCGCAGTCGAATCGAATCGAATCGGAGAACATCGAAACGAGCCCTGCCTTTCCCCAGGGCTGGCTTCTCACTCCGAGTCGGTTTTGTTGCTGCCGGCCGTCTGGGGCGCGACAGCGGTACCCCCCCCGAGACCGGACAAAAACGACGAGCCGACTCCCCCTTGATCTGAGGGACAACAGGCGTCTGCACAGCCGGGCCCTCAAAGACACAATCGAACCTGGCCACCCCCTCTCTGCTCCAGAGATCCATGTTTAGCATGGCCCGTGTGTTTAACCATCTCCCGCAGCAGCTCATGGATTGCCGTCCCTCCCTTCCGCTCACCTCGCCTCGCCTCTCGTCCTTGCCCGTCGTGCGTCCCTCTCTCCTTTCGCGCGTCCTCTCTCTCTTCCCCGTTTTCCGACGCATAGTCATGAGCGCACCAGCATCAGTGGACATGTAGCAGCAGAGGACATGTAATTCGTGCAATTGTTGTTGTTTCACTCCGCTTCCTGCATCGGACCGGGCTTCGTGCTCGTACGGGACCTTGACCTTGACCTTGAAAGCGTTGCAATATAGGGTCAAAGAGGCTGCTACATCTCACGCTCAATCGTTGCAGTGTCTGTATTCCGCGCCCTGCCGCATCCGTTGATTGCATAAAGGGTTTGTTCGTAGAAATGGGGTCGTAAGGTATGGAGTCCTAAGGACAAGGTGCATCGAACAACATTGATCCACCCCTGGATCCCTTCCTATCTTTAGGACCCCATCCCTCAGGACCCCATCTTTGATGAGGGACGACGGTAAGGGGGGTCTGGTATCAGGGGGCATGCATCGACCCGTAATGGGCGATGCATCGTCGATAGATCGGCGATAGGCCCCCGATCGCTAAACCGCACCTTTCTGAGCGGGCTTGGGCTATCGGGCCCCTATCGGCGATCAATGGGCGGTCCAGGATCGATGCATCCCCCCCTGTGCCTATCCACCTCTATCGCTGCCCCCGATGATCTGATCAAGACGTTGGGCATCTGGGACTCCGACAACGACATCGGCAAGCCGGAACTGGATCGACTCACAGAGCTGGATCGGATCGGAAACAGGTCGAATCGCCGGCGAACCGTGCCGAATCGGATCAGAATCGTGCTGTGGCCTTTCCTGGGAGCCCTGGGCCCACCAGTAAACCCCGACTCAGCGGCACTCAGCGGCAACCGAGAGGCACCTCAACGACTCTCTGCAGCACTCAGCGGCACCTCAACGGCACGCGCACGCGTGGTCGCCTCGATCGACCGATCTCCTGGGGTGTGCGCGGCGGGAGGAGGAGACGGACGGTGGCGAGGATAGCTAGGAGGACGACGCGAAGAGGGGCAAGAGCGTCACGAAGCGACGTTGAGGAGCCACGAAGCCATGCAAAATACCATAATCAACGCAACTCAAAGGGTGAAAGAGGTCCCCAGGAAAGACCACAAGACGGCCCACGAGGGCCCCAAGACGGCCCAAGAGTCGCCCAAGGTGGCTGGCCCAAGAGGGCCCCAACAAGGCTCCAAGATGGGCCCAACAGGGGCACGTACCTCGAACTCGCATGCGGCATGTCGAGCCCTCGACCCCAAACGGAGCCCCGAGACCGCCAGCAGGCGCGCCCCCAAGCGGTTCCCAAGGGGCCCCAGAGACGACCCCAGGACTCCCAAAGGGCCCTCCCAACCATCGCAACGGCCCCATAAGGGCTCACCCGTGGACGCCGTTTCTCCCCTGGGGGTCGGCGGAAAGGCGCTAGCCTCTTAGATAGAAGGGCTCCCAGGAAAGAGGCCACATGGCAATCCCAAAACAGTGGAGGCCCGTCCACAAGAAACCTTCCACAAGAAACCAAGCCCTGAGACTCCAGGACGTCCATGGACTTTTGGACGTCCCAGGGCACCCTGGAGGCAAGCAGGGTGTTTCTTGGCATGGTCTCCACTGCAAGCCTCTTAGACAAAAGGATTCCCAAGAAAGATGCCACATGGCAATCCGAATGTCGCGGCCCCAGCCCGCGCATCGACTCGCATCGCAGGCGGCCCTGCACAAGAAGGGCCTCGGCCGAAGATCCACTGCCGCGACACCGCGGGCGGCTCGGCCCTGGCGCTCAGGAAGATGGGGTGCTTCTCCTGCGGCGGCGAGGGAACGTCGCTGGAATTCGCTGAGATCCACTCTGCGCCAGCGAGCTCTGGCGACGACAACCCCAGGCGGCGGCCCACGGAGGACGGCCTCTCCCGCCTGACAATGCCCTGGCCCCGAGCGCTAAACGCTTTCCTTGGGCGACGGGGCAGAGGCGGTTGTTAGGGCGCCACAGTTATGCTGATTCGCAATGCTGAAATCCCAAGAACGGTTCCTGCCACGATTCAAGGTCGTTAGTGCGCAACAGTCATGTTGATCCGGCACCTTCAGGCTCTTCAAACGGTTGTCGCCCACCGGGGCACTTTCCTCAGTGGAATGAATCCTTGTAGGGGCCTGTGAAAAGGGGGCTTGGGGGGAGGGTTTATTCCAACAACGTTGATGGGCCTTGAGGTTACAGTGGTCATCCTCCTTCTCCTCCTCCTCCTCCTCCTCCTCCTCCTCCTCAAACGTCCCTCCCTCCCTCCCTCCCTCCCTCCTCATCCTCCTCCTCCTGCTCTATCCCTCCTCGTCCCTCCTATTCCTCCTCCTCCTCCTCCTCATCCTCCTCCTTCTCCTCCGCCTGGCATCATCATTATAACCGTCGTCGTCGCCACCACCACCACCATCATCATCATCATCATCATCATCACCATCATCATGATCATCATCATCATCGTCATCATCTTCATCATCATAATCATCATCGTCATAATCATCATCAGAATCATCATCATTATCATCATCAGCATCATCATAAACACCAGCAACAGCAGCAGCAGCATCATCATCATCATCAGCATTATCAGCATCGTCAGCAACAGCATCGGCATCAGCATCATCGTCATCATAATCACAACCACCATCACAACCACCATTGTAATAATCGTCGACGTCGTCACCTTCATCATCATCAGCATCATCATCAGCATCATCACCATCACCATCATCATACGCATCAGCAGCATCACAAGCAGTTGCATCAGTGTCATGATTGTCATCCTCATCATCAGCCGCATCAGCAACAACAACATCGGCATCAGCATCAGCATCAACAACATCAGTACCGCCATCACCACCATCACCATCATCAGCATCATCATCATCTTCATCATCATCTGCATTTCATCACCAGCGTTGTCGTCATCATCATCATCATCATCAACATCATCACCCTCATCAGCATCACAATCATCCTGAGCATAAGCGGCATAAGCATCAGCATCAGCGTCAGCACCATCACCGTATCCATCACCATCACCATCACAATCATCATCATAATCGTCTTCAGAACCATCATCATACTAATCAGCAGCACCACCAACATCACAACCAACACCACCATCACAACTACCACCTCCGTCATCGTTGTCGCTGTCAACCTCATCGGCACATCATTATCACCGTCGCCATCACCGTTAGTCGTACCACCATCTTTCGCAACCGCAACAACCGCATCGTCAGAATCACCACCATCACCACCATCATCGGCATCGTCATGGTCACCATGATCATCATCATCATCATCACCATCATCATCACCACCACCGCCATCAACATCACTATTGCCATTGCTGGCATCATCATCACCATCATCACCACCATCAATACCACCATCAACGTTATTGCCCCCGTCATCGGCATCATCATCATCATCATCATCATCATCATCATCATCATCATCATCATTATCATCAGCATCATCAGCATCACCCTCATCATCACCACCATGGCTTCCCCCTTCCTTCTCCCCCCTCTTCCTCCTCGTCCTCCCCCCTCCTTATCCTCATCCTTCTCCTGATCCTGCTCCTCCTCCACCCCTCCTTATGGCCTTGAGCCCGGGGGAAGAGGCCCCCCTCCTGGTGGGGATACTTTTTTGATTTGCGGCCCGCAAGGAGAAGTCCAGAGGGCGTGTCACTAGGCAATGGGGCGCAATGCCAGATAATCAGGGATGCACAAGACCACTGGGCGAATGCCAGCGGAGCACGACGAGAGGATGGAGGAGGGGGCGAGGCGGGCGGCGGCGACGAGAGAAAAGGGGGGGAGGAACCAGGCCTAACCTGGTGGGGATACGCAGAGCGTCAAACATTTCACCCAGCTGCTCGGGTGGGATGGGGGGGGGGGGGGTCGTTTTCAAAATCTGGCTCTCGCCGAGGGTCGCCCCCGCCCATCAGCGCTACGCACGGACGGGTGGCTCCTTCTCAACATGTGGCTCAAGGCCCGAGCGCCGCGCACACTCGCCGTACAGAAGGTAACACCTCGATGGATGGAGGGTGGCTCCATCTCAACCTGTGGCTCTTACCCTCGAGCCGCTGACACTCGACTTTCAAGCTCCGAGCAGTTACACCGACGGAGGGCGGCCCAGTTTCAACATAGGGCTCACGCCCTAGCGCCGGGCACACCCGTCTAAAAACTTCGAACAGTTACACGGATAGATGGGAGATCGATTCCATCATGCGGCTCTCGCCCCAGCGCCGCCACACACACTCGTCTTACAATATTGCAGCAGTTACATGTAGGTAGGGCGGGTTCTTCTAAGTGTGGCTCTCGCCTTGGCGCCACACACATTCGTCTGAAAAGCTTTCAACATTCACACGGATGGAGAACGGCTCATTTTCGTCATCGAACTTCCATCAACATGATCAGATACCCAAACTTGTGCAACAACTACACGGCTAGAGGGCACCGGGTCTTCAAATCGGGGCTCTCGCTTGATTATCAGGTAGGAGTTCTGATACGACTTCACATATACAAGCTCCAACAGTCCATTTGAATACACACGGGTTGAAGGCGGCTCATGTTCAAAGCGGGGTTATCGCTGGATCGTCGGACAGTACCTTTCCCTTTCTCGTCCTGCCTCGTCGCAACTCTAAAGATAAGCATGGGTGGCAACTCCTTTCAGAACGAGGGCCTCGCCCGAAGGGCGGGAACATAGGGGGCGCTCTTCTTTCAATGGGGCACTTCCCGCACTGGAAAGGATTAGTGATATGGGTTTTGCAGGGGGTGCGCTTGGGACGTGCGGGCGCATTGCGACGTTGATGCGCATTGGGATTGCTCTGGTTTTCCTCCTCCTCCTCCTCCTCCTCCGACCTCCCTCGCATCATTCTCCTCCTCCTGCTCATCATCATCGTCATCCTCATGCTTCCCCTCCTCCTCATCATCGTCATCCTCATCCTTCTTCCTTCTCCCCCAAGGACAAAATCAGCGATCAAATCTGTCAAATAGTTCTCCCTGCTCCCCCTACCCATCTTCGTGCTCCTTCTCCTTCTCCTCTTCCTCCTGTGTCTCCTCTTCGTCCTGCTCGTCCCCCTCCTTCTCATCCTCCCCCCCTCCACCCCTCTTCGTCATCCCCCTCCCCGTGCGCCTCCTCCACGTCCCCGTCCTCGCCCCTCTCCGC